AATAATTCAGTTTATAAACGCACAATTGATTACACTGCCATAAACTGTAAAAAGCTAAATATGAAATGACAAAGCATTTCCTTACATAACCAGAAAATGGAACATTAAAATGGTGCCAGCAATCTTCCAAACAAAACTGCAGCCATTTTCCCCCAATTCATGTTGTCCTTTGTAATTCTTAATCCACTGGATCTTGGGTCAGTGGTCTCACGAATCCATCTACTTCTCTATCAGAGTTCTGGAAATTTTGAGTCAACCATTGGTTCCGCTTAAAGTTCTTTAGTTGTCTCTGTCAGACAGCTGTACCCCAAAGCACCTGCTGAACTTCCGACCAGTGAGGTTCTGCACAGACTTCTTCACAAGATGAAACATTCTGACTGGTGGCTGATGGCAGAAAACTTTGAGGGAAACATCCAAGTGAAACAGGCTAACAAAAATATCTGTAGATGGGCTGGGGATATAGCTCAGCAGCACAAGCACCTGCTTGGCAAGTGCAAGGTCCTGAGTTCGATTCCCAGTACCAAAAAAAATATATCTGTAGATGACACAGAATTAAAATGAATGTGGTTTATTACAGATAATTTTGTTTTCTTTAGACAGGGTCTTGCTACGTAGACCAGGTTGGCCTTAAACTCACAGTAATCCTCTTGCCTCAACTTCCCGAGTGCTGGGATTACAGTCATGTACCACCACCTTTAGTCTACTGATAATTTTCAAAAGTGAAAGATTTGATAATAGTTAAAACAAGAACAAAACACTGGACACAGAAATTGGGTAATTTCTGTGGCATGCAAAATAAAACAACAAAGTCAATCCAAAAAAGTTTTAGACATGTTATCTGTAAACATAACCATGAAAACTATTTTCAAAGAATATATAAACATTACATCCAATTTTTCAAGAATGAGTGAACACAGAGGATAAATCTTGCCATAATACCTATAGTTATTCAGAGACATAATATGTCACAGGTGTACTGAGCATATGGGAAAAATATCAAGCAACAAATTCAGGCGTAGAGTAGGCTCTAAACATTTTTATATTTAAAAAAATGAGCAGAAGATGGAGACAGTTGAAAAGCACTGTCCTAAAAAAATGTGCTAGGTTCAAATTAGACGTGTACATATATGAGGAAGTCAGTATGCAAAATAACTGAAGTTATGATTGATAACCTATACCTTGTCTGCTATCAAGCAAAGCAGCATAAGGATCAATGTCTTTTCCTGTTATTTTAGTGAAGGAAATATTATTAAGATACTGAAGGAAAATGTCCAGTTACATATGTAATTAGATTTTCACCTGTTGGCAGAGGTAAGCATCTTGATAATGGTGTTACAGAATTACATTTACAAAATACTGTTGGTATGTGACTGTACTGGTCAACTTTCCTGTTACAGGACAACATGCCTGGCACACGTAATTTAGAGGAGGAAATGGTCTACCTGACTCATGGCTTCAGAAGACTTAGTCCATGGTCAGCTGGTTCCAGGGCAGGAACATCATGGCCAAAGGGTGTGTTAGAGCAAAGTGACTCACTTCATGGTGCTGGGAAGCAGAGCACAGGCAAAGAGAGCCAGGGAGAGGTACAATTTCCAGAGACAGCCCACCTCCCTGCTATGCTCCACCTCCTAACAGCACATTGAGCTTTAAACATCCGTGGATTAATATGTTGGTTGGAATAGCAACTCCATGAATCAGTCACCTCTCCAGAAGTCCCTTAAGCCAGTCATGTTGACAAGATAAACTAGTACTTGTTCAGTGATGAGTTCTGTCCTCATAGAGCCCCCTCACGAAGTTCTTATATTCCAACAGCCATCCCAGCATTGCTTGAGAAATTTCAAATGTCCCCATGGTTGATTGTCTCTTAGGACTAATTTTTTCTTTTCTTTTCTTTTTTCTTTTTTTCTTTTCTTTTCTTTTTCTTTTTCTCCTCTATTCTCCTCTCCTCTCCTTTCCTTTCCTCTTCTCTCCTTTCCTCTCCTCTCCTCTCCTCTCCTCTC